AAAAAAAAAAAAAAAAAAAGAAGGGCGTGAGGGGTAACCAGGTGTGGCACACACCTGTAGTCCCAGCTACTTGGGAGGCTGAGGCAGGAGGAGCACAAGTTCCAGGCCAGCCTGGCCTACATAATGAGTTTCTGTCTCAAAATAAAAATTTTAAAGGACCAAAGAGATACCTCATGATGAAGCGCTTTCCCAGTGTGCTCAAGGCCCGGGATTTGACCCCTAGTACCAGGCTGGGGGACAGACAGGAAGTTGGAGGGGACCCCGGGCATTGCTTGGCCAGCCAGCGCCATTTGAATGTGAGGGGACTGTCAGAGACCGGGAAACCCCCGTTCCAGGGGCCTGGGACTCGCCTGCCTTTGATCCTGCTCAGCAGTTTTTCAGAGCCCGATAAATCCCAAAGAATCTATTCAAGAAGCACACTGACAGCCGACCTGAGCCAAAATGAACCTTCCAAAGTTATTCTTCTCCAATGAGCCTTTTTGTTTTTGACTTTCGCTTGCCATGATTTATTTCCCGATCAGCACCCTTTGGAGTCCGGGCTTCTCCATGCATGCAGCACCCCTTTGAGCCCCCAGAAGCCCAAGCCAACAGGACTGTCCCAGGCCTGGCCACAAGCAGTTGTCCCCATAGTGTGGTTCCCGGGGTCCAGCGGAGGCGCCCCGGTGTGAGCCACTGACATGCAAAGCACAGAGGGCTACTGAGTGACTTTTAGAAGTTTTTTGGTTGTTGAAATATTAGGTGCATTAAGCCATTGTAGGCATTCCCAAGGTGCAACCTGCAAGGAGCCTGAGGGGCAGCAGCCGCCCGTGGGGACCGGGCTTTGTGCAGGGCACAGAGCGGCACCCAGAGCAGCCAGTGCCCCGGCCCCACCTGCGGCCCAGCGACGCAGCGGGCGACGCTCAGGGCCTCCTCGCCTGCGGCCTAAAGAGCCCCGGGTCCTAGGCTGGGTGGGGAACCCCGCGCCCCGCCTGGTCTCTGCCATGTGCGATGCGGCGGGATTCCACACGCCAGCGCCCCGGCGGCCCCTCCGCCTGGCCTCTGAGGGAGAAGGGGGCTCGGCCCGGCCTGCGGGGGCCCCGCGTGTCCCTCCAAGGGCGCTGCCCGCGCGGACGCCGCCACGGGCCGGGCGGAGCGGGTGCGAGTGCGGCCGGCGCAGCTCTAAGTGCTGCCATGTGGGCTTCTGCCGCAAGTCTGATATTAACGACCTGTTAATCACCGCAGGGGCAATCAGGACGAGACGGCTACCCGGTAATTTGTCTTTTACTTTTGCCCTCTTTGCCCTCTCCTCCTAGCTGGTCTGCTGCCCCTCGCTCCTCCC